TCTCTCTCTCTCTCTCTCTCTCTCTCTCTCAGTCCGGTACTAACCTGTGAAGGTGGCGCCTTGTTGCAGGTACATCGAAGACGAAGCTGGAGCTATGGCGCCATAGGTAAGTCTCCCTGGCCTCCGCCAACCATCTCTCGCTCTCTAATGCTACTCTAGCTCCTCGTAGCGCCCAGCGCTGAAGACTACTGCTAACGCTACTACTGCTACTGCAGCGCTCCTCCAGAGTGCTGCTGCCAAATCCTGAAGACTGCCTCCTGCCTCCTGCACGTGAATTGCCTGGGAAGTCCCTATGAACTACCTCGTGACTCCCTGCAGCCTGTAGGGCGGGCCAGCCTTATATAGTGCTGGCCCGTCCAGGAGGCTGCTCTTGCCAATGCCAAAACGTGCCAGACCCTGGCGTTGAAGTTCAAACAAAGGTTGTCTTGAAAACAGGCCAGAAATGGCATGTGATCCTGGTCTGGTGCCTAAGTTCAGGGCAGGTCGACTTTATGAGGGCCTGAAAATGACCCTCGTTTTCAGGCTTTTAGACTGAAACGACACAGGGCCTGTAGGCCCTCGTTTTCAGGCTTTTAGGCTGAAACGACACAGGGGCTGTAGGCCCTTGTTTTCAGGCTTTTAGGCTGAAACGACACAGGGCATGGAGGCCCTTCAAGTTGTTTCTGGCTTTTAGGCTGAAACAACACAGGGCCTGTAGGGCCCTGAATTTCTGTCTGGTCGGGCCTTGCAGGCCCGTGTGGCTGTGCAGTATGCCACACCCCCCCCTCCTTGAAAGACTGAGCTTACCTGCAAGGGCAAAGCTGTCTGTCGGAAGGAGGGACCAACATCCGATTAGGAGGGTCAGGCTTGTGAAGCTTCCTTAGCTAGTCTTTGTCACTCGTAGTCGACGTAGATCAGCGGTGTAGATGCTTGCAAATCTGTTGGTGTCCAGAATGTCGAAGGACACGGCCTCGCTTGCATGCGGGGCGAAGTACACGGGACGTAGTCAATGCACCGGTTGATTGACTTGTGCGTGTGGCCGTCTGCCAACGTGACTTGCGTGGGCTGCGGCTTCCTCCGAACGCGTGGCCGCAGGCCACCACGTACCAGAAACTCTTGGCTCATGTGGTTGCGAGTAGCTCCGCAATCGATCAAAGCGCTGCAGGTCGCCTCTCCGATTTGAATGCGTATCTACAACAATGGCGTGTCGATGTCGTCGTACCGTTGTGTCTTGAGATCGCGGTCGATCTTCGCAACAAGTAGTCGTGAAGGTCGACAACCTCTACTCCGGCGTCCATCAACGGAGCTGGTACTACAATGTGCAAGTAATCCCGCAATTGCGCCTTCGGCACGTTGCAATGCGGTTTCGGCAATCGACCGGTCGGGGGAACGGGCATCCATTGGAAGTCCGTGAACGTCAACAGGTCGAGCTCTTCAAGTCTTGACCATGACGTCGAATCCCCAACGATAGATGGCAGCGAAGCTGCCGAATCGGTTGTCGATGGTGGTGAAACCGTGCATGCGGTGGATTGTTACACGTGGAGTGGTTGGCCCAACGGTGGGACCGAGTGGACAGCGTAATCCTCGTAAGATTACCTAGGACTTGCGACATGCTCCTCCTCCCCAGATGTGTAGGAGGCCGCTAACAAGACAGTTGAATCTAGCGGAGTGAGAGGTGAAGTCGCCTCACCTCCCGCGCAACTCAGTTTCCCGAGCTGTGGTACTGGTTGTCCATTTCCGGCCGGCGATGCATTTTTCGCCTTCCCTTTTCCCCGAGATTTGTTGTTGCTTCGCGGCTGGACGGCGGCCACCTGATCTTCCTCACGTGATGTTGAGGTGGTTGCCGGCTACGTGACACCCCAGGCCACGGATCCTGCGGCCTAGGAGGCGACCGAGTTGGCCGACTGCGGGCACGTGGCAAAGGCCGCGCGACCGGGTTTTCGCGCGGCCGCCCCAGGCCCAAGTGGGGGCGCGCGCAGAAAAACGGCACACACGCGCGGCCGTCGCACGACGGCCTCTATGGCCCTGAAAAAAAAAAAAAAAATTGAAAATTTGGGGGGCTGTTTTTTTGTATGTGAAAAAAAAAAAATGGATTGATTGATTGATTGATTGATTAATTGATTGATTGATTGATTGGTGTGGGAGGGGTCCTCCCTCCCCTCCCCCCGGCACACACACTCGCGCGCACACACACACACAC